ACTGATGTTTTCAGTTGTTGCTAAGTAGTATTTAGATTAAGTCAAGGATTTTCCAGCTTCTCATGCCTAGCCAGCAAGAAGGCTGGAGGGGCACAAGAAGTTGGGACAAGACACAGCCAGGACAGCTGGCCCAAACTGGCCAAAGGAATATTCCATACCATGTGACATCATGCCCAGTATATAAACTGGGGGGAGTTGGCCAGGGGAGGGGTGGGGATCGCTGCTCGGGAACTAACTCGGCATTGGTTGGGGAGTGGTGAGCAATTGTATTGTGCATCACTTGTTTTGTATATTCCAATTCTTTCATTATTTTTATTGTCATTTTATTATTGTTATTATTATCATTATTATTTTCTTCCTTTCTGTCCTGTTAAACTGTCTTTATCTCAACCCATGAGTTTTACTTTTTTTTCTGATTCTCTCCCTCATCCCACTGGGTGGGGGGAAAGTGAGTAAGCGGCTGTGTGGTGCTTAGTTGCTGGCTGGGGGTAAACCATGACAGATTTAAAAAAACAAAACTCATTTGATACTTTCCAAAGGATCTTGAAGAATGACCTTTGAAGAATGACTAATTAACAAAAGAAAGGTCTATTCACAGCTACGTAACATGTGATTTTAAGGCAAGTGTTGGTTCAAGAAGTTCCTAAATCACTAACTGCAGAGGCTGTGAGTCTACACAATGGTGAAGAGCACCTCCTATCGTATCATCTTGGTGTCTTCTAGTCTTTTCCTAAGCAACTGCTGTGGCCACTATCAGACACTGAACTACAAAAATAAACATTTACTGATTTAGAATGGCTATTCTTAATGATGTTCAGATGCTAATGCAATACCATGCTACATCAGCACCAAAACTTTAAAAAATTAATTTTCACTCTGTGAAATTTATTTAACTTAGAGGTAAATTACTATTAGTTTATTTAACATAAAGTTTAATCTCTATGAATATTTATTTAAGCATATTGTTCCTCTAGAAAACACTGTATATTATTTGCCTAACCACTTGTTAAAACATACTACTAATATTTTAAAACTTCAATAACAGAGTTTGTAAGCTTGGATTCAGAAAAAAGCCAGCAAGTGCAATATTACTACAACACTTGAAGGTAAAATGTAATTATCATCCTACAAGATGTAAAAGAGAATCTACTGTGAAATTCAAGAACACTGTGTTTAAAGCTACTGGCCAATCAGTACACTGATATTATTTATTTAGGACTACGTGTTTTATCATATTTTTAGTTGAGCTTCCAGCCTTCATAAATTATAAACTTTTTTTGTAAAATGAGAAATAGCTTCACAAATCTTTTACAGGGAAATTACGATTGCTGTAAATTTGTAATGAATAAATTGTAAAGCTTATTAAATTATCCTTGGCTCTGCTACACAGAAGAGTAAACAAATTAAGTTCACAATATAAAAAAATTAAATGGAAATATGTCAAATCCACTAAAAAGTTCATCATCAGGAATGTTCCCAGGTCAAGGATAGACCCAAATTGATGAGAAACAAGTAAGTAGTTACTTGGAATAAATTCTGATTTGGCAACCCAAACAAAGACCCACATTTTTGTGTTCTTATTCTTTCTTATTCATACAATCCGCAAGGGAGTCTTAAACTAAGAGGCTATCTTGAAGAAGTTTATTATAAGGATCAAAAGAGTTTTAAGTACCTCAGACAAAATCTTTTAAAACTGGATGGGGTTTTGTTGCATGTACGTTAAGGGAAAGATTTTTTCACAAAATGTAATTTCATTCTCCACAGAATACTTAAAATGAATGCAAAGGGAGTTCTTCTGTTGGGGAAAAAAATGTGCAAAATCACTGTTGCAAGGGATAAATTCATTTTGTTAGCCATTGTTCTTTAACAGCTCTATTTTAATGCAACTTATATGACACACAAAAATATGCAATATCAAACAATGAAATATTTAAATGTATTTCAGTACAGAAATAATTTGCCTATAGTTTCACCAACATAAATTTCATTCAGCATGTATCATTTTACATTGTATCTAGATTTATACAGGAAAAGACTACAAGTTGGCTAAAATCAGAAACAAAGTAATGGTCTAGACAATACAATAATACTTCCATTTACTATGGAAAATTCTAAGCCTCCTTCACATTTTAGGAAAATTATGTAGGAAAAGTTTTGAAATACCCAAGAATACACTATCGGTAAGACAGAAGTGAGGTGAGTTATTTTGTTTTAAAAAGAGTAATTACATCATATTTCAAATTTATCTTTAATAACAGAGTACTTAGGTGTCCTACTATTTTCTACGAACATGCCAGTTGTAGGTCAAATGTTAGAACACTAAAGATTTTCATAGAACTGCACTCTTAGCCAGAAAAAAGAGAGCTGAAAACTTTGGTGGGGTTTTTTTGTCATGGTAAAAATGAAGTACATTTTCCCTACAACATTTGGCTATTCCTACAACAGTGCTACACTCTCAAACACCTTCACCTTAATGGACACCTTCATGTTAACAAATAAGAAAAAAATTACATAATTATTTCTTCTCTGAAAAGAAATTGTGATCCTTATTCAGACTACAGCAGTAGTTCTCTGAATTGAGAGCTCTAAGCACATACTTTATGACAACCATTATTTTCTATCACTTCCCAGTCTATCCACCAAAAATGTATTGGTTAATTCAAAACTAATCATCATTTCATGTTCAGCTAGTCTAATAGCTTTACTGATTTATTTTTTTCTGGGTTTTGTAATAACCAAGCTCTCCAAACACGTAGGAGGAGAAATTGTCAACTTGTTTTTCAACAACAGCTAAATTAAGCTGGTAATCAGGAATAGAAGATACAGATTTAATGTCTTTGCCTAGGACAGTGTGAAATATATACTTCCCATCCTCATCTGCTCTCATCAGGAGATGGCTCTAAGCACACCTTTCATAGAATATTCTGGGAAGGAGATTCTACTACTCCGTCTATACAATTTAACTAGAGTCTTAACAATTGTCTTAACAATTCAGACTAGAGTACATGCTGGAATCCAGGACACCCATGTCAAAGCAGCCTAGAGAATCATTCCAGTTTTCTGCTCAGTGATTATTAAATATTCCATTAAAAGTGACCAACAGCAAAATAAGAGACTGAAACATTCCAACCAAAGCATCCTAGAGGCAAGCATTAGAAAACTCTTACGTGTCCAGATACTCTCAGAATATTTAACTCTGAACTTCCATGTGCTGCATAAATTATCCCATAATGACATTGCTACTTCTTTCACCAATGAATGTCTCAAAACCTAACTTGTCACTTAGGCAAAAAGGAACATTTCACTAGATCTCATTTATTTTCAGTGTTTTGTTTTGTTAAGAAAAAATGGGGAAAACTGTTTCCTCAAACTAATCATTTTCTCTCAGTTTCACATGCAAAATAAAAAAACCTTCATTCAAGTTACCAAACATCAGAATTAGCCCTTGACATCAGACAACAAAAATCCTGAATGGCATCTATGCAATTTTTTCCCACTACTTAAATGAAAATGGCCTATCAAGATTTTCTTAAAGAAAAGACTTGGCATAACTGAAATATTATAATGACTGACTGGAAGACTACAGAAAGTTAGCACTTCATGAAGAATTCCAAGTCTTGTCTTGTGGATAACTCCAGACTATCTACTTGATGTGTATTCTAGCTCATTGTTTAACTTAGAATGTTACATAGCAGATATGCAGAAGAAGAAAAGTTAGAGGTCTTTTTAAATCAATAGGTATAACAGTCACATAAAGCAACAAAATGTCTAAGAAAAGATTTTATAGTACTACTTATTATCTAGATCAACTGATATGTGTTTAGTAATTTTGCAAATTATGTACTTTTTGTTTTTGAAAATGAAAGATCAAGAGTCTGGTTTTAATTTTAGAAGTATACTTCTATGTACACTTTATAAACTAAGATATCTTGAGCTAAACCTCAAGCTATAGTCTAAGGCGATATAAAGTATTACCACTGTAAATTTAATTAACAAATTGTTGTTAATTAAGCTTTCCAAATCTATTTTTCCTAACATATGGGGGGGATACTTTTGCATAATTGAACCCATCAGTCTAATTTAGGGAATATAAATGACAAGCTAAAAAAAGAATATGCTCTCAATCTGCTTCTCTACATGAGCAATTATTAAATTAGCATTGTAATTTTTTATGTTTTGTAAACAGATAATATGACAATTTCCATATATAAAGTAATCTTATTATATCATTTAAATATAGCCAAAGCCCTCTGCAGAAAAAAAAATTAAATCATTGTTTGAAGCTCATGACTGAATACATAAAACACATTCAAGAGTAATAGAACGCACATTGAGCTATTCAAGTGATTCATATTGTCTGTATGTCATTGGTGTTACCTCACTAATAATTATTATAAATTATTGTTTAAAAATTATTTTATCTGACAGCTAGTTCAAAAGATTTCAGTTTAACAGCTTGAAAAACTCAATAGCAATTAAGTAATATTCTAATACAGGTAATTAACTACGTAGGTGGCAGTATGAATGAAATTATGAAATACTGTTTGCTAAAGCTGAGACATAGTGTATAGGCTTCTACTATACTCTGCAGCAGTAAGGAATATTACTTATAAGCATCACTTGTAGAAACTGAGACTGATGTCAAAACAATATAATTATATAATTTGGGATATTTTCTCATTATAAAATTTAAAATAATATCATTTATTTTGTCTATGCTGTGTTTGGTGGGTTTTTTGTATTGATAATATATAATTATATATCTTATTTTATATATTATATTATTTTATATATAATATATAATTTTAATATATGTCCTCTTTTTTGTGAACCAATAGTATATTTAAACCAATATAACGAATACAAGTATTTGTCATATTCAGATGTTTCTTGAGTAGTGTGATGCTATGTTACCATAAAACTACCAGGCCAGAAAAACGCAGAATGTATCATTTATTTTTTCTACTTAACTGAACCAGATCTTGAAAGAGGTTGTTTACTGTTTTATTTCTTTTACTTGTTTTATACAATGCATCTACACTGAGATCAAGAACTGCAGAAGCCAGCCTAGCAAAAATATTTTTACTGCTGTTAAGTCAACAAACAAACAAACAGAAATCCTCTCTAAAGGTAGTATATTTGGAATAAAACCCAAACTAAAAAGTGCTGTGGCTACTCAGCTCAGGGTATTTTATCTCTCGGATCACAACAGAAACTTCTATACAAGTGTAACACCAGCCATACCCCCAGCACATTATATAGTGAGACCATATATGCAGTTCTCTGTACAGAAACTCCTCCAGAGAGAATCTGTGACCAACAGGTGCAACCAATGCTACTTCCCCCAGCTCTGCGCTGAAAGGACTCCATGCCATTCACTTTCTGACATATGAAACTCCCTGAAGGCTCCACCAATCCTTGCCTGTACAACAGTCCATTCCATTCTGTTTCTAAATATATACATTTTTAATACAATAATGGTTAGAATGGTTAGACCTACAGACAATGAAGTGAATGAGCCTACAGTGTCTTTCATCGCAATGTTACATCCTTGGAATATATTTGGAAATTATTTCACAGCTGCAATTAGAATATCAGTATTTATGTCATAGTAACAACCATTACTGGGTTTCTTTGTTTTCAGCAAGACTACCTATTGACAAAAGGAAAAGTAACAAAATTTAACCTTCCACATCTCATCATCTTTTTTTTTTACTACATTAAAATTGCAATAGTTGACTTACCATATTGTAGGTGGTTCAGAACCTTCAACTTCCAAATAATCATATTTTTCTTCCATTTGGAAATCTGTAAATATGAGTGAGATAGTATCCCCAGGCTCTGCCACAATTGTCCATGTGCAATCTGCATTATTATGGTATTCATTAGGAAAGTTGGGGCTCGAGATGATACCACTGGATCCTCTCATAGTTCCTCCACATGCATCCTCAGCTGTTAAAAAAAAAAATTATAACTGTCATTAAAATCAGCCCTTAGAAATGTATGCTTTCTTGTTGAGAATGGAAGTTTATTACCTTTTAGGTGAACAATTGCTTAAGGTTTTTTAACATGTTAGACTTAGAATGCTGCTGCAAAGTTATATGACCAGATAGAAAAACTAAAGTAAAAGCATATCTTGGGTTTAATCTTACTAATTAGCCAGTGCATTTAGCATCCACTAAATACAACGAAACTGAGGAACCTCACCACATCACAGGTTCAGGTCCTTTACTGTGAAAGGAATAAAAAAATATAAAAAAGGTAATAATGAAGTATTGGTTTCATGCATTAAGGACAATCAGGAGAAAAAATTTTATTTGTTAGTTCACAGAAGTAAAATGTCCATTAAAACAATGGGTAACATCCTGGTTCAATGATTTTGAAGGATCTGTATATTGATTTTTAAATACTGATTGAAATATGTTTGTCCTGGTTTCAGCTGGGATAGAGTTAATTGTCATCCTAGTAGCTGGTACAGTGCTATGTTTTGAGTTCAGTATGCAAAGAATGTTGATAACACTGATGTTTTCAGTTGTTGCTAAGTAATGTTTAGATTAAGTCAAGGATTTTCCAGCTTCTCATGCCCAGCCAGCGAGAAAGCTGGAGGGGCACAAGAGGTTGGCACAGGACACAGCCAGGGCAGCTGACCCAAACTGGCCAATGGGGTATTCCATACCATGTGACATCACATCTAGTATATAAACTGGGGGAAGTGGGTGTAGGGGGATCGCCGCTTGGGGACTAACTGGGCGTCAGTCAGCGGGTGGTGAGCAATTGCACTGTGCATCATTTGCACATTCCAATCCTTTTATTATTACTGTTGTGATTTTATTAGTGTTATCACTATCATTATTAGTTTCTTCTTTTCTGTTCTATTAAACCGTTCTTATCTCAACCCATGAGTTTTACTTCTTTTCCCGATTTTCTCCCCCATCCCACTGAGTGTGGGGGGAGTGAGTGAGCGGCTGCGTGGTGCTTAGTTGCTGGCTGGGGTTAAACCACGACAATGTTTTATCAAGTACCGAGTTGAAAAAGTTCTTATAGGTAAATTTTCATAGCTAAATTACTGAAGCTTATGCAAACTGTAAAGACAAATAGTAGCATATGAAATAGCTTTTCAGCTCATGTAACAAGTTAAAAGCAGAAAACCAGGAGTATCATGCAAGACTAAAAACTTTGGAATAGCTTTCTCTCAGACTCAAAAACAGAAGTGCTTTTGAAAAATACTGTATGACAGAACACATTTTTTTTTGCTTTTCATGAATGAATTATAGAGAAATCTATCCTAGATCCTAGCAATATAAAAAACTGTTCACTAAAAATGTTGCTATACTCTACCAATACTTAAAAGAATAAACAGAGTAACTGTGTTTAAAAACACAAGCTGTGTCAATGAGCGTCTGCTATTTCTGAGCCACATCTGTTTAGAGATTTTTGCCAAAAGGTAATTTTGCTACCATCAGCAAAATGGCCCAGACAAATCATCATGTATTTTGTTCTGACTCATGTAGCAAATTTCCTACAAATAAAATTAATACTAACTACATTTAAGTACTGTAAATATAACCAAGAGCACATCAGATATCATAGATCATCAGATATCTTAGCCTCTGTAATGCAAGCATTAGCCCAAGAAATAACAGAATTACTGTGCTATGTTCCTATATTCCTCCACCTGTAATATCACTCGCTTGTGATTTATTTGGTTCCAGTCTTGCAGTCAGATCCTCATAGGTAAAAGCTCACATGTGGGAGAAGGCTAACAAACATTAATCCCCATGAAAATGTTCAGTGCCTTAAGTTGTGAAGCCACTGGAAAAAAAAATTGATCTTCGAGTAAATTGACAAACACTGAAGTTGACAGCAGTTCTACCACTGACTTTATAGTGCATAAGACCCTGACAAATAAAAGAAACTGTAATAATTGTTTCTGTGCAATCTGCTTTTTAGCACCTGTATTCCTATCACATTGAAACAGCGTAACTGTTTAGATGTCAGCTATGAAACACTACAAACGAAAGAATAGCTGGTAAGAGAACACTTATGAAGACTAACAGTGGCCCATCTTCATCAATGCACAAGTCGTCCAGTAATGATGTGTGAACAAGGAAGAAAGAGAGGAAAGATAATCTTTGCAGTGACTTCTGTACAGAGCCCTGAGAATCTTTCTCTCTCACTGCCTTTCCACAGCTTTCTGAATCACCTCTGTCAAACCACTGAGGTAGGAGTCCTCAAAGATACTTAAGTGCCTAACACTACAATCAAAATGTAATACCTAAACAGCAGTTAAGCACCTCGAAAGAACTGTGTATCCACCCCTGTTCTTTTAATTTCCATTTACCAAATATGGAGAAAAACATTCACAGGAATGGTGAGAAGACAATAGTTTGGTTAAGACTTGATAGAATCTGACATTATGCAATTGCAATTACAAACGCATAGCTAACATTGTTGACATTTAAAAAAAACCTATATCTACTTTTAAAATTCCAATACCATATTTTCAAATTAAATTTATTTTGTCATGTACTGGGAAAATTTATCTAACCTACAAACTTGCAAATGTGATATGAAGGCATAAATGCAAAAAATACGCATACTGCCAAGATGTCATTTTTCCAAACATATTTCTCTGATCTTAACCATATGCTGAAAGGGGAAGATTTTTCAAAGTGATATGTGAGTGGGGACTTGGCTTAGAAAAGCTTTTCAAGGTATCATGAATTCAAATGAAGATCTATATTTGAATATGCATAAGAGCTCTTATGCAGAGGGATTATAACTGATATCATGATGTGACTGATGATTATGAGACTACAAAGATTTTGAGGGTTTGGTTTGGGGGGGGTTGGCTTTTTGTGGGAATCGACTGGTTTTTATTTCTATAGATAGATATATGCAGCTTTTTTCCTATTTTTTTTAAATTATGGCTAAATGTCTGTTAAAAAAATAATGTGAAATGATTACACATTTAAATAATTTCTGCTGAAAAGTAATTGAATAAAATTTTATATTTTATTTTGTAACCATCTTCCTGGCTTGCTGTTCACTGTTCCTTTTTCATAATAAATTTTGAAAATATATTTCTCTGGTTAGTCCTATTTAAGTGTAATTTTCTGCTTATTCTTGTAGTTTCAGTGATATTCACAATAATGTTCCATATATATTGAACTGGAATTTTCAGGAAGATAGATGATCAAAGACAGGCAATGTTATCAGTGATATATACACCATGCAAATTCATGGATTTCAATGAGAATTCAATGAGAATTCAATGAGACTGCATGGTAGATCAAGCTTTAATCTGCCACACAATGTATTGCATCATCTTATCTATCTAGATATTTATAGTGTACCAAACAGTTAAACTTAAGTGCATAACTCAACTCATCACAGAGTAATAGACATGTTATGAATTCTTGAAAATAATGCAAGGAAAAAAAAAAGAGTATAGCAACTTTCCAAGTTTAAACAATGACCTTTACAATAGCCAATAAAAGTTCTGAACAAGCTGAACCACTTTTGAAGAATCCCATCAAAAAAAGCTGAGAGGACCTGCAGTAATCCTTCTGTACCTTGATCTTAGCTACACAGACTCTATGAAATTCATGGCATATTCTTCACAATGTAGTTCAGGCACAACCCCAGGCATACTGTTGTCTGCTCTTTCAAATTTTAGACAGTCTTACTTCAGATAAATTAGCTGAGAAGTCTAAACGAATCAGCACTCTACCACCCCCTTTTAAGCATTTTACATCATATTAATTATTGCTCTTAAATATACACATTAATAACTACCTTTTATCTGAAGATCACGAAGGATCTTTACATTAGGAAGCAATCAATTCTTTGAGAAACTCCAGTGCTCTTCAAAAGAATTTAATATAGGCAAACACATAATACTAACTACTGATTCCATTAGTGTGGTGAAAAACTACTTTACTTGTTTCTGCGTAGCAAACAAATGCACATATGCATGTGTCTACACAAACTCTAACCATCCACAGAATTTTATTTGAGGCTTAACTGCTGCCTTAAATATTGGTATCTAACTGTTAAGATTTTTGATGGGCAACTGAAGAAAACAGGGACCCTGAAAAATGTCATTCTCTATCGCACCATATTTATCATACGTTAAAAATAAATTAACCACTTACACGCATAAAATAATTATGTGGAAAGTGGAGCATAATTCTAAGTATTTTCAGAGGTTTCTAAATGAAAGATATTGCTTTTTACGTCCTTCTGAAACAGCTCATGTCTATTTGATACAATAAAGCAGAATGGAAATGGAAATTAATTATGCAGATAATACTTTTTGATATTTTTCCAAAACCACAACCCTTTAGCTGTAATCTTGATTCTGACAGAAGAAAAAAATGCATTGTTATAAAATTCTACCAGTGTTTTCTAAATAAGATTTTTAATCAATTACCTTCATATCCAAAGTAAAGGGTAAAGAAAATTAGATTATCTTCTCCAGGCAGTAACTTGGCATGTGAAAGCAAACATTGTTTATTAAAAAGGCAGCACACTACCTTAGCTATAACTTAAATTATACAACCATTTCTGAATGGGAAGGTAGTTTCTTTCCCAAGGATCTTGTCTCTTTATTACTCTCTGAAAGTTTGTCAGAGGTTGGCTCTAAATAAAAAATAAATAAACAAAAAACCTCACCTAGATAGCAGCCCCACTGATCACTGTTTAGGGAGGGTTTTTTAAGTTTTCAGTAGGTGCTCATTTTGAATGTTTTAAAATATCTTTATAACAATTATATGGAACTATTTACTGATCTTGACTTAAACATTATTACTACACAAGCATTTTATGCTTAGTATTTTCCTCTTTATAGGTCTGTATGCCTATACACTCACATTGTTTTTACAGAGCACCGCATTGAGAAGCAGCTTCGTAATACATTTTGAACTTAATTTTCCACAAGTCTGAATTTG